AAGAAATATTTGGACGCAGAGACAGACATGTACAAGATATGAAGTCATGAGAAAATGGCTTCTGTGGCTCCCAGAAGGCAGGGGAAAGGCAGGGAGCAGATTTTCCCTCACAGCCCTGAAGGGACCAACCCTGATATGTTGCTCTCAGACTTCGAGTCTCCAGAATTGTGACATCGTAAAATGTGGTTTACAGCAACCAGTATATGGTACTTTTTCTTATGGCAGTCATAACAAATCCCTCAAACTGGATTCTGCTCACCTAGAAGTTTGTGAACCAAGAGGGAATGTATCCACTCGGGTATCTAAGATATTTCCCCACTGAATTAGAAGCTGAGACTGCAATGTAGCCATGTGAAGTGCTTTACTCCTATTAAGGTGGAAAAGGGATTCTGCTGGAATAATGACAATGATCAAGGCAAAATTAGGTTGTTGTTTTATATAAATCAGGGTTAGGAGTAGAAATCCTCTAACAGGACTACTGTACTCAGTAAAAACAGTCAAGGAAGCATCAGATGCACCATCACAGGTAACAAGGACTCCGATTCATCCCGAATAAGGGTGCAATTTGTATCACTGAGCACACATAAACATGAGGAACTTCCTGAGGGACAGAGAGATATGAAATGGGTAGCAAAGGAGTCACAAAGGACAACTTAAGCTTGTAACCAAAACAGATAAGTCCTAAAGCCTATTCCTTGGCTTGTCTTTAGTTTGTTTACATATAGGATATGTTAGTATACTACAATGTATCCTTTCGTCCATAAGACACAGCACAGAACTAGAGGAAACACAGCCACCACTTGATAACCTTAAATTAGAAAATGGTAGCCTCAGCCTTCCTCTCTGGATGTGCTAAGTGGACACCATTATGGAGGGGGTTCTTTCTATTGTACGGTAGTTATTTGCATTATATTAGACAAATACATTCCAAAGTTGTATATGGAAAGAAGGGCATGTTTATGTGTTATGCAGCCAATAATCAGAATATGTAGACTTTTTTGTTGTTGTTTATGCTTCCTTTAGCAGCTATTGCTTCTGGAAACCATTCTTTTGGTATTCTCTGTCATTCTAATGAGCTGTCAATCATAGGACTCCAAGAGAAGCTAAAATTAGATCAGGCTTTCCTAGGAAATTGAAGCATGAGCAGAGACACAGGACCAGAAGAGAATTGGAACACAGTCATCTGATGGCAGCTCCCAAAGTACTGTCACATGAATGAGTTCCTACTGTACATATCACCTGAACGCTCAAGTCCCTGGCTTTCCTAGACCTGGCTGTCAACAATCTTCAGTACCCGTCATAAAATAACTTTTACCTCCCTTTCTCCTTTTCTCTTTCCTCTCTCTCCTTCTCCTTTCCTCTTTTTCCTTCCTCCTTCCTTTCCTCCCTGGATCCCACATGGCAGACTCCACAGTTCAAGACCCAGACCCAGTGGCTTGAAAGACACACTGGGTTTGTGCATGTGCGTGCCTCAAATCCCAAGAGGAGAATGGAGGAGGAGGGACTGTGGTGTGGCCATTCCCCCTGGGGGCTGATTTCTCTTTTCCCTGTCTCTCTAGTGAAAGCACACACCCTATGGCAAAAAATCTAAAATAAATAAATAATAGAAAGAGCCCTTATCGGAGAAATACGAATTCTGCTCAACACAACAAGAACTAAGATCAAATCTATGGTGAAGTGTGGGGGGGAAATAACTGTGGAATCAC